TACTCTGGTGCTAAATCGAAATATTGCTGTTGATGGAAGGGATATTGCGCAGACGGCATCGTATAAGTACCTACTTAGGACATGATATTCGGTTGGACAGAGATAAGCAGATATGTGAGCTCCCACGTCACATAGGATTAGCCTGGACAGCGGTTTGTAAATTAAAGTATGTATTTAAATTGTATCTACCCACATGCCTCAAAAGGAAAATTTTTGACCAATGTGTGTCACATGTGCTCACTTATGGAGCGGAAATATTAATACTCACAAAAAAGGTAGTGAATAAGATTCGCGTGTCTCAGAGGTCTATGGAGCGCTAGATGGCGGGTGTCTATCTGAGAGACTGAATCCCAAACGAAGAAATACGTCGAAACAAAAACAATAGACGCCATTAAAAAATCGCGTCGCTATGATGGAATTGGGCAGGAGACGTCACCAGATTATCAGACAACCGATAGACAAAACATGTTGAGTGGAGACTAAGACAAGAAACAATACGCAGCAGAGGCCGCCCACCAACTAAATGAACTGACCACCTGAAGCGTGTAATACTGGATGCAAGTCGCACAAGACAGAGACAGATGGAAAGAGCTGAGGGAGACCTATATCTAGCAGTGGGCGCATACAGGTTGATGCTGATATACCTAGAAGAAGTAAAAAGTTATAACCCGGTAAAATTATAGTACTAGTAAAATTCCGCCACGGAAAAATGGAGGAGTAAGCTACGAAAATATTATTTATGCTTTTTAGCTACTTATCTTCATTAAATGCAATTACAATAAAATGAATTATTTTTTTAAAAGAAAAAACTATAAAATGAAATAAAAGAAATAAATCTATTTTAATAATTTATAATTATTATCTATATATTTATATAAATAATATTCACTTATCAATAAAATTTAACTTTTTCTTTCGAAATCTTAGTAAAATTCAATAACTTTTTTATAAAAAGATTTAATTTATTTTTCCGAGATTTTCCGGGAGGTGAAAATAGCACAATTCTTATTATTTTGTTGAGCTATGCCAGTTAAAAAAAAATGAAGGTTTTACGTGCGATAAAAGTCAAAATATTGCAAATTTTGGTAGCGCACTTAAATTTGAAGTTCCAATCTAAAAAAAAAAAAAAACGAAGCTCGACAGTTTTTCCCTTAACTTTGCCCTTGGGACATTTTACGAGTACCACCATTTTAACGGGGTATAACTTTTTACTCCTTCAATTTATGCCACCTATAAGTTGGATCACAAAATTTAGATCTTCATTTAGAATCCTTTCAAATGACACCTCTTAATATTATTACACTATGGATGTATCATTTTAAGAATAAAATGCGATTATTTTATAAATGCTATCTTCTGTTTTTTAGGAAAGTGTGCCAGCTTCTGATTAAGCCGACTTATAATCGTGTGGCATAAACGATATCAAAGTTTTTACATAAATGTTTACAAGCTAACAAGTCATCCCTTTTTCAAACTGTTTTTTAACTACAAATTTAATAAAATGTTCTCTGAGAATATTTTCTCTCCTGTTGCCGACAAGAATGTAGCGTAGAATAATTTTAAATAATTTTTAACTGTTTGTCCTTCCACTAGGAAACTAAGTTCTTGTAGCCTGGCTGTATACTATATATCACAAAAAAATTTATTTCAAATCCTTTATAAAATATATACCTTTTATAAAGGATTTGAAATAATTTTTTTTGTTTGTCCTTATTTTAATGTAGTGTTATGTACAATTTCTGTTTAATTTCATGTTGATTACATTCTGCGCTTGCTGGATAGCCCAAATTTGACGAAATGTCCCTGATGATGCTAGACTAGCTGATGATACGCAACCACAAAGGCTAATTCCTTTGGTAAACTTAACCGTTCTTTTGAGGCAATCTTTATGGAATGCTTCATTTTTTACTTCTGAAAACCAGATTTCAAAAGTCTCACACGCAAAGATCAAATTTCGATTTTTCACTTGAAAATAACTTTGGACCAATCATCAACGATCAATGAAAACTTTTTCTTCTTAAAGTACCGTCTTCCTACGGAGGTTGGCAATAATAATGGTTATCTTTGTTTTTGAACTTGCTGCTCTAAACAAATCAATCGATCTGCATTGATACCAATCACGTAGGTGAAAGCTTCGATCTTGTCCAATTAAAGCGATGTGCCTAAAGTTTTCATGGACCGTTGATGACTGGTTCAGAGCGATATTCAATGATGAATCGCGATTTTATGTTTGCGTTGGAGACTTTCGAAAATGGTTATCGGAAGTCAAAATAAAGCATTCCATAAATATTGCATCAAGAGAACTGCGGATCTAGGAAGGTATGAGGTGGTGGAAGGCACAATTAATGCAGCAAAGTATCAAGAAATTTTAAAAAATAGTATTGTACCAAGTGCTCAGGATCTCTACCAGAACCTGAATTTTATATTCCAGCAAGACGGTGCTGCATACCATACAGCTAAAACAACTAAAAAATAGTTTGGAGATAATAACATTAAAGTTCTCTTATGGCTTTCGAACAGTCCAAATCTTAATGTTATTGAGACATTGTGGCATAAGATGAAACAGAAGTTGCGTAATGATGCTCAGAGAAAAATCTCCGATTTGAAGAGTAAATTAGGTTACTTATGGGATATTTTCGACACCGACTTGTATAAATCCTTAGTAAAAACAATGTCAGACAGGATTGCCGTGGTTGTAAAGGCGTGTAAAGATGTAACCCTATATTAAAATAGTAATTTCTTGAATTTTTCGAACATTTAGTTGTCACGGTATTATGCTTAATATTATTTATAAAATATGCTAAATATGCTAAATATTATTTATAATAGTAAAAGTAGAAAAAGAACTAATAGACCCTGTTGAAGCTAGTGATGGGATAAGACAGGGAGATTCCCTCAGTCCTCTACTGTTCAACCTGATTATGGCTAAAATAATAAAAAAGTAATAACTAAAAAATGATACCAAATGGGAGAAAAACAACTTAAAATAATCTGCTATGCAGACGACGCAGTACTACTATCTCAAAGTGAAGATGATTTACAACATATGCTGCACCAATTTAATATAACCGCCAAAAAATTTAACATGTTAATTTCCCCAAGAAAGAAAAAATGCATGGTTACAACAGCAAATTTACTAAGATGTAAATTGGAGCTGGAAGGTCAGATAATAGAACAAGTGATGGAGTTTAAATATCTAGGCAACACATATCTAGCTACGGAAAGCTCGAAACCGAAGTGGAAGATCAAGTGAATAGAGCAAACAGAGACGCAGGCTGCCTAAATAAAACAATATGGAGAAATAAAAATATCGGGAAAGAAACGAAAGGCAGAATTTACAAAACAGCTATCAGACCAATAATGACATACGCCGCAGAAACAAGACCTGACACAGAGAGGACAAAAAGGAAACAGCAGAGATGAAAACACTTAGAAAAATTGATAGTAAGACACTATGGGACAGAGCTAGAAGTACAGATGTACGACATATATGCAAGGTGGAGAAAATCAAAAACTGGATAAGAAATAGAAAAGGAGAATGGAACGATCATATAAGCCGAATGACAACAAATAGAGTAGTAAAGACGACAAGGGACGGTTCCCCAAAAGGAAGACGATCAGTAGGAAGACCACGAAAACGATGAAATGACAACTTACTGGAGGCACATTGAAAACCAGACAGAGTCATGTCTATATAAAAAGAAGAAGGAAACGAAGAAGAAGAGATATTATGCATTATTTACATTTATTTTATCACCAACGTTGCAATTACAAGTTTATAGAGACTGAGTCAGTTCAATATTTTGTTAGATTTGTTTTATTAATGATAAAGTTTATTTATTATATTATTGATCTTGTTCTTTGGTTCAGTAAGAAAGATCGTAAAGATGAACGTTTTCAATAAATTGTTGTTTGTCCGAACATGTCCAAGTTGTTAAGGTTCGTACATGATAATGGAATAAACAGATAAACAAAAAGAAGATAATTTTACATTGTAGATAGAAGGAGAAAATACATGTATGTTCAAAAGAGTTTTAGTACTTACTTAGCTGGGCGTAAAACCAGATGCAAATAGCATAAGGAAGGGGAGATAAAAGCAAGAATAGCAAAAGGAAACAAAAAGTATGGAGCATTTTAAACATTAATATAATGCAAATATGTCGCAAGAAAAACAAAAATTAGAATCTACAAAATAGTTATCAGGTCTACACTTACATAGCATGCAAAACATGGGTGCTTAAAAAATCAGAACTATACCTTTTAGAAAGATGGGAGAGACAAATATAAAGAGCAATGTATGGAGATGTGAAAATAGATGGTCAATGGAAAAGAAGAAATCAAAAATAAACACGGTAATTAAAGTACAAGGAATAAGATATTTAGAGCACATTAAAAGAATGGGAACGGAAAGAATGGCAAAAATGATACTATCGCGAAAACCAATACAAAAAAATAAGAAAAGGTAGACCAAGAAATAGATAGAGAGACAGCGTATATGAAGACCTACAAAAAATTAATATTGAGAATAATGAGCAAATTAATGGCAGGAAATGGTAAATAAAGAAATGTATGGAAAGACTATAAGAAATATAAAATGTATTTTATATTTAAATTTAAATAGTAATTGTAATAGAAAAAATAAACTTTTAATTAACCTTAGACCTTAAAGGCCTGTTGAGCTTTATAAATATAAAATATAACTCTATATCACATTAATAAATACTACGGAAAAATAAAATAATTCGCAATTTATAGAATTTAACTGACATAAACAACCGGTAAGTTAAAACAGACTAGCCTAATTTGTTTTCATATAGTTTTTATATCTGTATTTTGTATTTCTAGTTGTTTACTTGTTAATATGTGATATTGGAGTTGTTTTAAGTAGCAAAATGTATTTATTTTAGGGAAGTTTAACCACTAACTCCTTTTTTATAGATATTTCCTTAGATATGTATATTATATATCGAAGATGTAGTAATAATCAAAGTAAAACTTACATAAAAATAACTTTCCTCCTGCTACGGCCACAAAATTAAAACAAAAAATCAAATACAGATACACCCGGAATTCCATCGCATCAAATTTACACTACCGACTGTAAAACTATGTATGTCAACCACAAATGAACTTTTTAAAAACACTAAACATTTTCTAAAACAATCGAATCATTCTTGCAGGTACATAAAACGGGATAGGAAAAACCAAATGTCACGAATTCTTTAAAGTTAGAGGAAATTATCAGTAATCTCTTAAGCTCCCTTAATGACCATTTTTTTAACGGTATTGATATGAATGGGAAATTTGTACCCAGGTAGGTAGATTTCTATAGAGAGTACTAAATAATAGAAAACATCAAAGTCTACCTTGAACTGGTGTAACTAGTATTTAATTAGTCAAAATTATATTGTAAGATTCAGTAAGTTCAAACGTAGTGACATATAATTCTACTTTTTTATATAAATATAATTGCAAAATTGAGGACGTTAAATGATCGATACTGTCATTAAAGTACTAAATTTATTGTCTTAGAAACAAAATGATTTATTTATCCGAAAGATAGGTTAGGTCATACAGTTTTGAAGTGCCCTATTTAATTAGCTCAGCTAAAATGTTACTCGTGCCTGGTGATTTATTATTGATTAGCGTTTTGCATGTGTTTTTTTACTTCTAGACCAGATGACTAACGATTTTTCAATGACAATTGTTAATATAGGTAGCGTAAGGTGGGGTAATTGGATTATGATTTTACAACAAATCTGGCTCAGATTTCTAGTTACCTAATGATCAAAGTAGTATAAGTCAATTTTAAACTATTTGTATAAAAACATGACCTTTATTTAATACTATTTAAATATACCTAACCTTAATTTGATTGAAAGTATTACAGTAATTATAAAATAAATAATAAAATTGTACGTACGGTGGGTCCAGTTACCTCAATTAACAGGGGTAACTAGAGCAGTCAGCCTAAAATCTCATAAGAACTGATAGATACCATTGTGGGCTATCTGGGCCTGATTGCATATCTTTATACTTTTCAAAGAAACCTCAAATAATAATTTAAATTGAGCGGATTTGAAACCAGACTCAATGTAAGGGTATCGCCTCTTATAGCAGATAAGGTCTAAGAACAAATTATACACAGTTTGCAGCTAACCACTTTTAAGGAGTTTATAAACTTACATTTAAAAATTTAATAAAACTGAAAAAATCAAAACTAATATATTAATATATTCCTAAACAAAATTCTTCATGAAATAGAAACTGCAAATTGAAAAAAAGATTAGTAAAGAAGCCTTTATAATCTCATATAATATTGCACAAATGCTGCAATTATTTCACAAGAAAAAAAACCTTTTTTAGAAATAATTTTAGTTTCTTCAATTGCACCAATAACGTCATCCCAATCGTATTTGCCAATATCTGCTTTATCTGTCTACGTCCAAGATTTCTGCATCGACATAATTTCAACCTGGTCATCTGTAAAGCTTAAGATTTTTTCTGGAAAATACTCTTTCTTATACTCAAAGATTCACCATACATATATTCGCATATACATATTCGCCAAATTTTTTGAGAATTTGGTTAAGGCCTAGTTGCTGAAAATTTTCACAGTTCTGCTCATCAATATGATTACAGAACATTTTAAATTTCTTCTCACTATCTTTCATTTTCTTCTACAATATATTGCAAATCAACATCATTATTACTTTCTTATATTTAATCAAAACTGTTCTTTTTGTTATGTTTTAAAAAGCTTAAAGTTTTAAAAAAAAGTGTAGGCCTACTTCTTTTAATTTTCGGTATGACCTTTTTTTATATTTCTTTTCGATTTCTTTAATTTTTTCTTTCTCCTCTTGTTCTTTCTTTATTAGATAATATTTACAGGTGATAATTTCACAGTTAGTGACCAGTCTTTTTCGTTTCTTCCCTGAATTCTGTAGTCTTTTATCTTTTTTCATCATTTTTAACAACAGTTCCTCAAATGATTTAAGTGTTTCTAAACAATGTCCAATTGGTGAGACAGAGCTTTCTTTTTTTACTTGAACTTCGTTTGGAGAACTAGCTTCTGTTCTTTCAACCTCTTCCTTTCTTTTCCAAAGGTAGAGACAGAGGTTTCTGGCTGTTCTGTTAGAATTAAAGCGTTCAAGACATCTGATTGTACCGTATCTGAAGAAGTATGGGATGTTTGTTGCACTACATTTGAATTATTGTAGTCTTCTTGATTTTCAGTGGCTATAACAGGACTCGCATCTGGTTGTAATGCTGCTAAAGATGTAGGCCTATTGTCTTCTCATTGCACTGTGTCCGAGGAAGGGATAGTTACTGAGTGTTGGACATTTAAAGAAGCGGTGGTTTCCAAGTGTACTTTAGTGGGATTGGGAAGATTGATGCACCCCATGTCGTCTTGATGCCATTTCCAATATCCTCAATTGCCCTATCAAGGTCTTTCGGGGTATATGAGGAGCCAGCACCCCTCTGAATTTTTCTTATGTACGTTCGTACCATTTTCTGAAATAAAAACAATCTGGTATAACCTGGGTCTTAAAAAAGTAAAGGATGGAAAAAAGTTGAGGTCCTGAGGAGTAAAGGTGCGTTCATTACGGAGACCATCGCATGATAACCTCGCCTAGAGCATAGCACTGACAGTGAACGCTCGCATTTAAAGTAATGCATTTATTTTACCTAAAATCGATAATAGGATACCATCCTATTGCTGATCGAGGGTTGGCGCCTCGTTATGAACGCACACTAACTGGGCCAGCCCCTGTCGCAGTTATTCCCGATATGGATCCCAGTTACCCCAAAAGAGCAAAAGCTTTCGGAGTAACTTGACCACCCATTATAACCTCAAAACTAATAAATTAAGCATGCTAAACTAATTTAAACATATAATTTAATAAAATATTTTAATATTTTAATAGAATAAGTGCTGTTTCATTAATTTTGAGAAGGCATTTGACAGAGTGCAGCATAATCGGCTTAAAGAAATTTTATTAAATAAAAACATACGACAGTAGAGATATTAGAATCATATGTAACCTCGATTAGAACCAAACAACAAAAGTGAAAGTTGAAAATGAACTGACCGAGGATATCCAGATTTGTCGTGGGGTCCGCCAAGGATGTATTTTGTCACTCTTGTTATTTAATTTATACAGTGAAGCCATCTCAGAATTAGCGCTTGCCGAGGTCAGTTAGGGCCTTATAATAAACGATGAGCCACTTCAAAACATAAGATATGCTGACAACACCGTCCTTCTGGAAGGAACACTAGAAGAACTGCAACACCTTGCTGAACAACTAAATATATATTGCAACGATTATGGACTAAAATAAATTTGAAGAAAACCAAGTTCATGGTATTAACAAAAGCACAAAATATCAAAGTTAAGCTAGTACTAGATAATACAGAAATTGAACAAATATCTCCGTACAAATACCTTGGAGCATGGATCACAGAAGATACTGATCAGACAAAATAAATAAGATGCCGCATTGAAATTGCACGGTCACTTTTTAATAGAATGAGAAAACTTTTTTCTAATCGCGATATCATTATATCACTCCGGATAAGAATGCTTCGATGCTATATTTTCTCTACCCTTTTGTATGGGGTTGAAGCTTGGATAACATTAAAAACCTAGGAGAAATCGAAATGTGGTGTTACCGACGTAACATTTAACGTATTTGAAAATATCATGGATCGCAAAACAATCAAACAAGTTCTCGAACAACTAGGAAAGCAATGCGAAGTTTCAAATTCCATAATAATCGGGAAATTGCAATACTTAGGGCACATCATGAGAGGTGAAGAATACGAACTACTATGGAATATAATGCAGGGTAAAATCAAAGGCAGATGAAGCGTAGGAAGAGGTAACATCACGTGGCTACGCAATCTCCGTGAATGGTTTGGATGCAGTTCAATTGAAGTATTCAGGCGCGTAACCAACAAAATTATAATTGCCAGAATGATTTCCAATCTCCGATAGGAGCGGAACTTGAAGAAGAAGAAGAAGGGAAGGCACATTCTACAGCCAACAGTAATAAACTTAAATACATTTACAGTTTAAGAATGAAAAAGGTATGACCCAGACACACTCTAGGTCCAGTTGCCCCCCATCACCCTACCTATCTAAAAACTGCTTTTGATAAGTTTGGTAATAACAATATGTAATAAACAAAATATGCAAAAGATTACGTCATTTGTACTTATAAACAGTGTACGATCGCTATTTGTTTTTAAAACATAGAAAATCCTATAAAACGAGGGTTTGTAAGGTTATTTTTGTTAATTTGTTGCGTAATTATTGCAAAAATAACTTCAAATGTCTATTTTTTTTAATGTACAAAATGCTATTATTTTGCGTGAAAATAAAGACAATGGGTCTATTGAATAAAAGGAAGTATTTGCTTTTACTTCCTCGTATTTAGGTATTTACTTAATAATAGGGGAGACCGGGGTTGGTTGTCATAGATTCGTCTATTACATTTTTTTAAGATTAGTATTATATAATATTATATATTTTTTTCAAAATCCAATTCCCTTTTTTGAGAAAAGACTTTAGAAAAGTTCCTCACATTGGCAGAGCAAATTCTAAGCAAGGCTGAACAGTGGTTCAGTAGAAATCGGTTGTTGCTTAATACTGATAATGAGACAGTTTTTGTCTACTTTAGAACCAGCCAGTCACGAGAACAGTTTCCAGATACAATTAATTTTCTATTACAAAACACGGAACGTGCTAGATCAGTTAAATTTCTTGGTAATCATATTGACCAGAATCTGAATTGAGGGAACAAATACAAAATACAACAAATAAACTGAATAGAGCCTGCTACTCATTAAGACTGTTAAACAGCTATCTAGACCAGGGGATTTTACTATCAGTATATTATGCAAACTTTTATTCTCCTATGCGATATGGAGTAATCTTCTGGAGTGCTGCAGTAGATAGCTCAACTGTCTTTATAGTCCAAAAAAAGGCAGTCCGAGTGATCTTAGGACTAAAGGCGGGAGAATCCTGTAGAGGCCGATTTAAATCACTCAATATACTCACTTTCTCAGCCATCTATATATTTGAATGTATTATATTCCTTTTTAAAAATTTTTCTTTGTTTTATCACCTGCTTCCCAATTATGAATATAATACAAGACGCCTTAATTTGAATTTGCCACTTCACAGATTGTCTATAACATATAGAAGTCCTTTGCATGCGTGTGTTAAATTTTGTAATAGTCTACAATCTGACATTCAATAGGAAACGCACTATAAAGCTTTTAAAAGAAAGGTTTTTCAACACTTAGTTGACATTGAGCCCTCGAAGTGCCTGGCCTATCCTTCTCCTTGATCAGCATATTTAATTTGTAATGTTAATATATTTTAAATGTGTGATGTCAATATATATTTTTTTAAATCTGTAATTAATAATGTGACGTTATTTGCTCAATTATGTTTAAAAATGTATGCAAATAAAAATTTACTCTACTCTACTCTACAAAACACACTCTCACCAACACACCAATCTCAAAATGGATTTATTTTTTGTTTAAACCGGTAGATGTGATAAAAAAATCGTCTAAAGTTTTCTACTATATCGATTATTTAGAATTATCCATTAAAATAATATTGATATTATCACTTACATTACTCTTGCTCAAGATAGGAATAATTTACTTCGTTTCTGATAACCCTTTGAATCTGGCATTTTTAAAACAATGAATTTATTCCTTTTATTTAATGTGACAAAACTCCAAAATTCTCACTGTTACAGTTTGAAAAGATCTCAAATTGTCTGCAATATTCTCACAACTCAAAAGTGTCGGTATTGCATAGAAACTTGATATCGACAGGGTTCGACTCCCACTCCACAATTAAAAGGGCCAGTAGTGCAAAAAACAATATGTCGTAACGACTCTAGTAACGTCTAGCAGACATTTTTGCTATTAATATTGTGCCAGTTTTGCAGGGCATAAATAAGGCTATTTCAAGAGCTATGGTGATGTGAACTCAATTTTGTCAATTTTTGAGTTGAGCCATTATTGCATACAGCAGACGAAATAATCTTTAAACTAAAATAGCTTCAGAACAATAATTAAAAGCATGGTTTAATTAAAAATATATTTATTCATAGCTATCTATATATTACACATTGGTCACCTAATTTCTATCTCTAACTCTTCATTGGTATTAGAATCTACAGATCTTATTTGTCTTAAGATTAAATCAAACTCATCTAAATCATAATTTGAATAAAAAGCTTTATTAAACCGCTCATATTTTTTTCTCCTATCTTCTAAAACCCTTTCAGTTGTAGTTTCTATCATTTTCGTTGTAGTTCTATCGGTTTTCTGAACGAGATTTTGATAAATATATAACTTGTCATCCTCTTCATCCATATTTACGCTTAAAGCTTTAATCGGTATCGATTTTCGTCGGTGATTACTGTGAACTCTTAAGTTTCTAGGCAATTGTCTACAACACACCATAGGGAAACCTTCTTCAAATCCGCACTCCTGGCTTCTTAAGAAATCTACTACAACTGGAGTCAGCGGCTTTTCTACACCGGCAATAAACTGCATGAAAGATGGACATCTTTTTACCATCATGCATTGGGAATTATGACATTGTTTTTCTGAAAACAAAATTAAATGATTATATGAAGCCATTTTTTTTAACGGAAAATGTTTATTTTTACATCATTACAAAAATATGATTAATAATATTTCCACATTAAAAGTGTCATTGCCATTCATAAGTAACCTTCACTTATTTGGGCACTGCTATCACAAAAAAAACATTAGTTCTAGAAATCCTAACCTTTTTTAGGTATGTTTTTTAGGTATACACCAGATATATCAATCTACACTTAAATAATAAGACGTTAGAACGAGTTCAGAATTATAACTCTTTAGGGGCAAACATTAATGAAACAAACGATTATACCAAAGAAATTAGAGTTAGAATAGAAAAGGCTAGAAGTGCATTCAATAATATGAAACAAATATTATGTTGTAGTAACCTCAGTCTAAATCTTAAAAAACGAGAACTAAAGTGTTATGTATTTTTTGTTCTTTTGTATGGTGTGGAGACATGGACTTTAAATAAACAATGTCTTAATAAATTGGAAGCATATGAAATATGGACATATCGAAGAATGCCGAGAATGTCCTGGACTGCAGAATAACCAATGAAGAAGAACTAAGAAGAATAGAGAACAATAAGGAGATACTGGATTCCATCACAATAAGAAAACTACAATATCTGGGTCATATAATAGATGACATGAATGACAGATGGTGACAGATATGAATTCCTAAAACTAATAATGGATCGAAAGATTCAAGGAAAGCGCAGCAAGAATGTCCGGGCTGAGAAACCTCAGAGAATGGTTTGGATGCAGCTCAACTGAACTACTTCGGGCTGTAGTGTCAAAAGTTAAAATAGGAGTGATGATTGCCAACCTTCGTCGCGAAGATGGCAAATAAAGAAGAAGAAACTTATTTTCAAAATAAAGATTTTTTTGGGAAATCGAAATGCCATCAACATTTCTATATTAAATTTTTTTAACAATCACCGTTTTTTTTTTATATCTAATACTTACTGTATGATGATCTTGAACGATGAGCTGGAGCTGGAGTTGTAATCTCATAATCACAGCATACTTTCACTTGTCCATCAAAGTCTTTGCATTGCTTACTTCTTAGATATTCTTTCGAAGCTTCAGTTAATGGTCTTTCTAAACCTTTAAAATATTTTAGGAAAGATGAGCATTGCTTTAGAGGAATACAGTTACACTTTTCATTCCCCATCACTAGAAAAGAAAAGGAAATCTTCTTAGTTTTAAGAATGATTATGGTATGAAAGGATTAAATATTGCATTAGTTTTAGTTTTTTTTTTAATAAATAAAATCGTTTTTTTTTAATAAAATCGAAAACCTTGTACCAAAATTAAGAATATAAGAGCATTAGTTATAGATTTTTAAAAGAAATGGATATTGAAGCCTAATGAAAAAGCACTTATAACGACAAGGTACAAGGAAAAAGACTGGAACACAAATCAAATTTTGAAAATTATAAATAAAAGAATAAAATTCAAGAACAAGATCTAATATAGAAATTTATAAAGTATAGAAAAAAAATAAAAAGAAGAGAAACAAGAGATACGTAATATTAGAGAGATATAAGGAAATAGAATTCTTAGCAAAATAAATATAACAACGTCATTTTGCATAAAAAATCAAGAAAGTAAGTGGAATAAAAAAAGGGGGTACGGTAGGGGGTACAGTAGACTAGCTCGAAGCTTCATACTGTGTTTCCTGTATTATTAAAATTTGTTATGAAGAAAAATTAGGTAACTTTACTAAGATACTTTACTAAGATAAATTGGAGCTGGAAGGTCAGATAATAAAACAAGTGATGGAGTTTAAATATCTAGACATCACACTATCTAGCTACGAAAAGCTCAAAACAGAGGTGGAGGATTTTCTAACAAAAAATGATCAATAGGACGACGAACACGGCGGAACGGCAACTTACTAGAAGCACATTGAAAAACAGACAGTCATGTCGACATAAATGGATTACGAATAAGAAGAAAAATGATTACATCGCCGGTATAAGAGCTACGCTTTAAAAACTAGATTAAAACAAAACAAAAACTACACCGATGGAAGACATACACAGAAGAATTGCCTTCGAGATCATAGACAAGGAAATCTATGAAATTACTAAAATAGAGGTTATTCATGAAATTAGATTAATAAAAACCAGTAAATCTTCTGGTCCAGACTAAATACTAAGCGATTTATTAAAGCTAATATAGGCTGGATATTTCAGTAGGATTATTGAATAAAGTCTACACTGGAATCATTACCCAAGAAATGTTCGGTATCGATATTTATAAGGAAACTCAACATGATCACTAAAAAGGTAACCACAAAAACACCTGTAGGAAGATAAAGCAGATTCCAGTCGCAAATTAGGTGGGTGGATGAAGTATGGGTATTACAAATCAGAAGATGGCAGAAGTCGCCAGAAACAGAACAGAATGGTGACGAATATTGGAGCAGGCCAGGATCCACAAAGGATTTTCGAACCAAAGATGAGAGTTATGATAATGGTGATGACTAAAGAAGGTAAAGTCAAAAGAATGCGAATACTACTAACTAATTAGTCTCATGTTACAACGTTAAAAGCCCTCTTAAGAATCATATTCAAAAGAATACACTTCAAGCTAGAATTATATGTTAGTGTCATTGGAAATTAGTGATACGTAACTGATGATAAGAGAAGCTCTATTGGCTTTTAATGCTTGTGGTAAAAGATGCTTAAGATATTTAAGACCTTTACTTCTGCTTCATAGACTTTAAAAAAGTATTCGATATGTCACATAATGACGGTATTAGATTTTTGTTTCGATGCAGGGTAGCGGCAAGCCGCTTATATGTATTTCAACCTCTTTAGGTCTCATCAGAGCGGTATATGCTACTGCTCTGTTCTCTGTCTCTATTCGATATGTTTAACCGTGAATCTGATGAAAATTCTCTAAAAAGAATCAGAATGGGAATAATTAAACCTTTATTGAGACTACATATTATCTTCTATCAATATTATAACCATTAACGTAGAACCAGAGACTACTAAAGTAGGGGTTATTCATGTAATGAGATTATTGATAATCACTAAATCTCCTTATAAATACCAAATACCAAGTGAATTAATAAAGGTAATATAATCTGGATGTAGAGGGAAGGAACTTAATGAAGCAAATATGGGAATCAAACAGCTGGGAAAAGAGTAAAGAAAGAGAAGTATCATTAGGTATTAAATGCTTAGATTGGAAAATTAATGATGGGAGAAATATTAAAGATAAACTGAAGCAATTCGAAGAAACAAATCTTCACCTTAACATTAAATTGGAAGTAGGTAGCAAAATACACACAAACTGCGTAACTTGCGCCTCTCCCCATTCACACACTCCTAAATTCCTCAATCTTTGACCGGAAGGTCGATAAACATTTCTGACGGAGGGCAGCAGCGACCGCCAGTACCAAGTTAAGGCGTATAGGAAATTATCCTGAACCGGCTTATCATTGGAATTTCACAAGCGGAGCTGTAACAGCAGAAAGGTTGTGATACTGCGATGCAATAGGGCAGGGGAAACCATTGCATAATAATTCCCAAGAAAGTTATGCGTGATGTCATCGAATGAAATACCTCGGATGCTGTCACGCAGCCCGGTTGACGACCGGCGCTACCTTGAGTCGGAGTCAAGTAGTGTAAAATTGGCCACCGGCCACACAAATGCTAGTGACCAGGCATCGTGTGGAAATTCAGCTACTGGTCTACAAAAAGATAAAGTAAAACTCAGGCAGCTATTGAAGGTCGGTACATGGAATATACAAGGGCTAAAAACAATCACAGGTAAGCTAGCGATTATTGAAAACGAGCTAGCAAGATACAACATAGAAATCTCTGGACTAGCTGAAACTCATTGGTTAGGAGAGGGCCATTTTAGAACAGACAATGGCAATTATATTTACTTCTCTGGCGGTGAGACCCAGAACTATACAGGTGTTGCCATTCTGGTCTCACCAAGATTACAAAAGTCAGTTGTCGAATTTAAAGCTGTAAACGATAGGATAGTACTCATTAAACTGGATGGCAAACCACATAAACTTAATGTCATACAAGTTTACGCGCCAACCAGCACATCAGATGACATAAAGATCGAGGAGTTCTACGAAAAACTGGAGACCACAATCGCTAACATACCAAATAAAGAACTTACTATAATATGTGGCGACTTTAATGCAAAAGTTGGCAACACTACACAAAATGACGACTTAAAGAATGTACTGGGGAAGTTTGGCATAGGGCAGAGAAACGAAAGAGGAGACCGTTTAATCGAGTTTGCTCACAAACAACTACTCCATCATGAACACTCGATTTAAACACCATGTACGTCGACTTTATAACTGGAAAAGTCCAGGAGATAGATTTAGCAATCAAATAGATTACGTCGTCACCATTATTCGCTGGAGATCGTCCATTCAAACAGTCAGATCATATCCAGCGGCGATATGCGGATCCGATCATACTCTCCTCGCAGCTAAAGTAATGCTTAAAATTAAAGCACCCAACAAACAAAGAGAGATAAAGAGGATAGAACTAAGAAAGAAAGAAGACCTTCTACAGGAAGTACAGAAAAGTATGCCCTCTATTCGTAACGGAACATCGCAAGAAATATGGGAGACTGTTAAACATTGCGTAACAACACCAGAGGATCGCTCAAAGAAAAATAATCCGGTAAAACGGAAACACTGGATAACAGATGAAACTCTTAAAATAATTGAGAATAGAAGAAATCTTTGTAAAAGTGGTGTACATAGTGAAAGGGAAAAAGCTAGTTTAAGAAACCTCAATAAAGAAATAAAACGAAGATGTAAGGCCGACAAAAAACAGTACTATTAAAGTATATGCAAAGAAATTGAGAGACATGGTCAGAATAATCAGCCAAGAGATCTATTTAGAAAAATACGCTACCTGACAAGAGACTTCAGAGCCAGAACTTGGACCATTGAAGATAACACTGGAACCCTGAGAACAAACAGAGAAGACATAGCAGAGACATGGAGATCGTATTGCAGGGACCTATATAAAGATGATCAACGCCAAGAGCTTGTTAGCCAAATCTCTGACGAGGTGGAAGAAGAACCTGATATACTCGAAAATGAAGTAAGACAGGCTATCAACAAGCTCAAATATAACAAAGCACCAGGTCCAGATATGATAACAGCAGAAATGCTTAAAGCCACAGAAGAAACCGGCGTAAAGTTACTTCATCTACTCTGTAACCAAATATGGCATTCCAACCAATGGCCTGAAGACTGGACAAAATCTACAATAACGACCATACATAAAAAAAGCAGCTTCCATAAATGCAACAATTATAGAACTATCTCTCTTATATCCCATGCCAGCAAGATAATGCTACATATAATGAATGAGAGACTGAAAACATTCCTTCAAAGAGAAATTCCACAAGAGCAAACTGGATTTACCAAAGGTAGAGGTACTCGAGAACACCTGCTGAATATAAGACAGATAATCGAGAAATCTAGGGAATTCAACATCCCACTATACATCTGTTTTATAGATTACCGTAAAGCGTTCGACAGGGTCAAGTGGAGACACTTATGGCGAATACTAAAAGAAGTAGGCGTACCACAACATCTAATTACGCTTATAACCGAACTATATGAACACACTACTGGATCAGTTAAAGTACTTGACACACTTTCGAACGAATTTCATCCAGAACGGGGTATCAGACAAGGATGTATACTATCTCCACAATTATTCAACATATATGGGGAGTATATTATGCGAAGAGCACTTGAAGGATGGGAAGAGGGCATCTCAATAAATGGTCATAAACTAAACAACCTACGTTTCGCAGATGACACAGCCCTTCTTGCAAATAGTCAAGCAGAGCTGATAGAACTTATACGACTGATCGAAAACGAAAGTCAAATATTTGGTCTGCAATTAAACATATCAAAGACAAAGATCATGATAGTGGATAGACTACACAACAATCATCCACACATAACCACAATTGACCGGTTCGAGGTTGTGAGCTCATACTTATATCTGGGATCATTAATCACAAACACAGGGACATTACAAGAAGAGATTAAACGTAGATCTAATCTAGCAAAAGTTGCCACAGCAAAAATGACCAAAATATAGAAGGACTGTCAAATTTCAAGAGCGATAAAGATGAGGTTGATCAACTGCTTAATAT